CTTCCTTGCATACGCATGACAGCTGCATACGACTAAATGATTTTTCTGGTGCGTTCACTTCCAGCGGTTGTAAGCACTGTGTAACTGCCTCGATGGTGCTTGACCATTTCAACACAACGTGGTGCGATCATCCCCCGTGCGCGGAGTGAGGTTTCTTCACCCCGCACAACATGATCTACTCGACCACCATTATGGTTACCGCCAAAAGAAAAAAGGGGTAAAAAAAACGGTAACCTGGTTGCCGAGTTCACCAAGTGAAGAGGCTTGTTTTACAACGTCGTTGTCAAGCGACGAAAACCCAATCCCGATGGCAAACACCGATGGGGGGGCTTGTTTTACAACGTCGTTGCCAAGCGACGAAAACCCAACCCCGACGGCAAACACCGGGGGGGGCGGGAGGGGATCATTCGTTCGTTTTGCCAGCGCTTGATAAATTTCTCTTGATCACCCATCTTTACCGAAATGGAGCACCGTTTCTGGCAGTTTCTCATCAAAACGTCAACTACTGACTCTTGGTACTTGCGAACATTTTTCATTTGCCGACGATGCTACAAATGCCCCCACGTGTACAACGCATTCTTCCCCTTGTACCACCTACGGCACCTCGCTCACAACTTGTCGCAAGCCAACAGGCAGTATTACCAGCAACAGCACGCCAGCAGCAAACAACAGCAAACGGAACCAACACTTCACGGTATGCATCGCTTGGTGATCATGCCATTAGCACCTGTGGCGAGAGCAACTATCAATAACTCACTTCCCCATGAGGTCTTCCCGTAGGCCGATGTCCTTGAGCCAGTTCCACGAAAAGTCCAGCCAATCTTGGTGGTGCTGCCAAGCCGCAAACGAAATTTTTCGGGATGGGCGGGGGTGGGGGGGGGGAGGGTTACTCATGCACTCATGCAAACGCACGCCGTAGTCGTTAGACCATAAGATTTCCCCCCCCCTGGCACTGACGAATTTTTATTGGTCAGCCGGCTGGTGCAGTCCATGCTACCTGATTGACGCACAACGGGGAACATTGGTGAAGGTCATGAACTGGGACCCGGTCCCAGATCATGGCCAATCCAAGCTTTTTTAGCAACACCAAGACTGCTGACCAGGTGGTATTGGCCAACCGGATGGTGCGGTCGATGTTATCAAAAATAAGCACGGAGTCCACGAAGATCATGGCCTTTTACGAATATTTTTTGCTTTTACAGCCGTACTGAGACGGTAGCTTATCATTGGCCAGCCGAATAGCGAGGTTGACGCTAAAAAAAAAACAAGCACACGGACAGAAGAAGGTATTGGGGCAGAGAGAACGGAACGGTTGTCAATGTGAAGACGACGACAACAATAACAACAACAACAACAACAACAACAACAACAACAACAACAACACACACACACATGTATATACTACTTCAACACATGTAAAAAAGCCCGCCTCACCTGTTCGATGCCAACAAAAACAAGCACACATGTATATCCTAGTTCAACACAAGTAAACAAGCCTGCCTCACCTGTTTCCAGGCGTCCCCTTCCTCAACAAAGTACTCCACCTCCATCTGCTCGAACTCCCTGGACCGGAAGATGAAGTTTCTAGGGGTGATCTCGTTGCGGAAGGCCTTGCCCACCTGCGCGATCCCAAACGGAACCTGGAGAAGAGAAGAACAAAAATAGCAAGGGTTACGCCGCAAGATATACGCTGGATATGCATGTAGTTGGATGTTTGGTCAAACATGCGAACAGAAAAAAAAAAAACGAACGAAAGAATCAACACCAACCTCCGGGCACACCGCAAGATATACGCTGTGTCTACTACTGTGGTTGATTATTTGGTCAAAAAACGGGTACAGTAAAAAAAAACAACACAGATCTCGAGAATTAAAATCTGAGAGAAAGTGTCCGCGACAACCAGACTTGGCGCATGCATTGGTGTTGGTACCCTTCTATTGGTGGTTAGCGTGGGATCACCGAAGGAGTCAGCTGGCCCCGACATGAATGTCAGAAGGTACTGAGCAGAGGTGGAGACGGTTTTTCACACCAAAACAACCAGCAGCAGGAGCAGCAGCAGGAACAAATTAATTTAACAACAATAGAACCCCACAAATCTTGTCGACAATCACGACAAGAACTGGTACACGCAGAGAGAAAACTGACCACGAACCTTGGTGCGCGCTGATTGCTGGACGTTCTTGAAGTTGGTGAAGATGCCCTGAGCGGTCTCAGGCCTCATGTAGGCCACAGAGCTCGCGTCCTGTTCCGAACGTAGGTAGACACGGCAGCGGCGTAGGTAAGATATGCGATACACAGAGAACTCTTGGGATGCTCTCATTGGCTCAGCTAACGCTACAGTAGAACCATAACTCCATCCGGCAGCCACCTGAAGCACGAGGTCGACGGTCTAGGGGGGGATACACTTGCAATCATGACATTGGGGTGATTAGATTCAATTATAGTTGTGGGGACGTAATGTTGAAAGCGCGTAACCGTCCCCTAATTGTGCAGACCCACAACGCGACAAAACACGAAAAAAGGAACAATCCACCGGCCAAAAATGTCACCACAGAAAAAAGCAAAAAATGGTGATACGCTAGACATGTCCAGTGTAATTTTTTTCATTTTCCGGCTCCTGTTTGCCCCCCCCCCCCCCCCACCAAGCAACAGCAACAAATCGACACCCAACGCACCCAGAACGAACACTTGAGTTGCCCACATCACGCAAAACAACAGACTCATCTTGCAACGAGAAAATTGTCTCGCGTTGATCTTCTCGCGAAAAAAAAATCGAAGGTGTAGAGGCGGCAACTCTTTCTGTTGCCACGTATCATCGGATATCCTATCCGGCACAAAGGCTGTGGGCGCTGCCTCAAAAAAGTCATGAAAAACAAAAAGACTGCTGTTGCTCACCGCCATGGCCCCGACGTTTGTCTGGAACATAAGGTTGAACTCTCGAGGAGGCGTTAACGCTCCCGGGGTCCCTGTCGCCGGGGAGGGGACCAGCTCCAGCTCCTCCGCGCTTATTCTCGACAGGTCCAGAAGAGACACCGCCTTGAGCGCTCCCTGACGAGGACAAATGAAGCAGAGCGAATCATCACACATCCGAGATTTCCCGTTAAAATCTTGTCTATTTTTCATTCCGTGCATATGTCCTTCCCAATATGTACCAAAAAGAATCAGCGACAAAAAAGGTAATACACATCCAGCTTTTGTGCGCTGTCTTTTGGGTCAGTATGTCACCATGTGACCACGACAGCACTTCGGTTTTCTACCCGTTGGATAACAGCAATGCGAAGAACGAGGTAACTAACTGGTTTAGCCCTTCCATCCCCTCCATATCGCCCGGCGGCGACGCAAATCGTCGGCCTCCTTGTTGCAAACCCCGTACTTAGAACCAAAAGGCATCAAATCAACGGCCTCCAAAAAGTGACGTGACACAAGCTACAGAAGAAACTCCATGGTAACCTCTTGGGCAGTGAAACCGACTGAAACCCCTCGGGAATCCAATGAGAACGTTCCCCGCATTTTCTTGGCGTAAGAACAACAAATAGGTAACAACAGCTTCACCCGTTGAAGAAGGGGGTAAGCTACAACTCATTTTTTTTGTGCTTGAAGGTCGTTGTTGAATCCCGCAGCATTTTGTGTCTCGTAAAATTGAATTTTGATAGACGTTGCCTACCAACGATCGTTGTTTTTTTGATCCTGTTGACCCCAATCCTCAGATCACGAACAAGCCAAGCATGACAAAAAGCACCTGCTTAGCGGCCTTGCGCTTCATCTTGTTAGCGGCCGCGTCTGCCTCCTCCTGCATGGTGCTCGACTCCAGCACCGATACGTACCCGATCACCTCCCCATCCTCCAATTCCACCTGCGAGGAGCCAACAAAGGAGAAGAGATGCACGGGACATCACTGCCGAAAAAAGGAAAACAAAACAAAACATACTTGGTACACCGCAAGACGCTGCCAGCAACAATAACACCGTTGCACGGGACATTACTGCCGAAAATAGACTTGAAAACACAAACCGCAAAGCCTACGTTTTCGCTTGCGCAAGATATTTAGTTCCAACAACACACTTGCACGCGACATAACTGCCGAGAATAGGTCAACCTACGTGTTGCTGCAATAACAATAACAACAACAACAATAATAATGCGGGTTGAAGTTCAGCCGTCCGACTATGGTTGCATCTCGAACAGGTGCTCTTTTCGTGATGGTCAATCTCCAGAAAAAAAACGTGTAACGCACAACAACAACAGTGTCACTCAAGCGTCGATTCACCTTTCCGTAGAAGAGCTGGTCGGCACGGTACCGCAGCTTGGATTCCTTGCAGTCGACCATGGGGTCCGAGAACCCCGCGACGTGGCCAGATGCCTCCCACACCTGTGGAAACCCGCCGCCGTTCGGGAAGAACACGTACGTCAAGCAAGAGAGGTGTGTGCAACGAAAACACCAAGGGTGTGTTTGGTAAGGTACATACCGAGGCGTACCAGCGGTATTATACCTCCGGTATACCGGTACCGAGATGTTCGGTACGTTCGGTATGGGCTTCAGTACCTTACCGAAGTGTTCGGTACGTTCGGTACGATGCAAATACCTTACCGAAAATACCGGTACCGTACCAAACAAACCCTTGGAAAATACATCTCTCCCTCTCCATCTGCCCTCCCTCTGTCTGTCTTGTCTGTTTATCTCTCACTCTTCCCCTCTCTCTACCCTGTCTCTCTGTCTCCCTCTGTCTCTGTTCGTCTTTCTCTCCCTCTACCTCTGTCGCTGTCTTGGTCTCCCTCTGTGTGTGTCATCTGTCCCTTTTCTGCATATTTTCTCTTGCTCTCGTTCCTGGTCACGTCGTCCATGGCAGTAGCATCATTTCCCGACCTTCGGGTTGTTGCTGGTGGAAATGTTGTCCTCCCCTTCAAAGTCAATGCTCAGAAGCTGCATATGAATCGCAGTCGGCGTCTTTTATGTCGGTTGGAATGTAACGACGCATATGCGTAATTCGTCTCGTCGTTCTGTCATCGACCTCACTTTTGGAGATCCCTCTGTGATACGAAAATCGGTCTGGGTATCTCTTCTATCCTTGCCATCCCTTGGATACTTCTGTCCTGTGTATCATCAGCGCATCTGTGTGAATCTGTGCCGGCTACCTAAGCGCCGTGCTTACAACATTCCATCATCTTCTTCTGCCCAGAGTACTGCTGTGCTTCTGCTGCTACGTGCTGGTGTATACACAATTCCCACAACACTGCTACCTTACCTTAGGGTTGCTGATGATGGAAGAGTCGACGCCGACGATGTCATCGCGTGCCTGGACCACATCCCTCCACCAAGCATCCTTGATGTTCTTCTTCAGCTCTACCCCTAGCGGGCCGTAGTCGAAGAACCCCGAAAAACCGTTGTAGATCTGCCGCCGCCGGCGGGCGGGGGGGGGGGGC